CCAAACCCTGGTCTTATTAGTATTTAATATTGAGTTGTCATTAGAAACCATGATTAATTGATATCCTAAAGATAAATGATACAGATTCTGGCAACAATCACTTTTGTAATCGAACCAGTTTTAAGATTACTAGTCTCCCACAAGACCAGAGAAGCCTTGGACCGCTTTCCCCTAAAAACATTCAGCTTATAATGTTTTACGTAAAATGATTCTCCAAAATATTTAAAGCACTGTGTACTTTCAGTATAGCCCTAGTAGACTAAACTCCTTCAAGCTTGTAATGTCCAAATGTTACATCCTATTCAGTGTTAAATTGTAAAAGCAACGAATGACCAAATGGTAAAACAAGCTATTGGAAACATTCGTTTGAATAAGAAAAACTTGAACCTAAAGAGTTTCTACAACACTATATGTATTTCATATGAATATGAAAATCTGACATTTGAAAGTTTACAAACTTACTGAAAGATTGGTGTGATCAATCATAAACTTTAGATATTGCAGATAAACTTCTCATCTTGCTGTAGAATTCGTAGGTTGTTTGGATATGTGTTCTGATACAAGTAGGGGTGGGTGCTGTTGTCGACTTAATATATTTTTTATTTTATGGTACAATTTATGCTGTATGCTTTACTAATTTGTAATAATACCAGGGGGATAGCAATGGCCTGATAATATACAGATTGTCAAATATATCTAATAGATCGACAAAAAAAGATAGGTACCTGACATCCTGAAATATAACGATTTTTAGTTGTAAAACGTGGCAGAATAAGGGTACGCGCAATGAAGCTAGCCAGGTTGCACCTCATTGGGCCTTATTTCATAAATGAAAACCGTAGCTATTTCTCGATATTTTTTACTTAAGATCGTTTGATAGGGGATTTCGAATGATGAATGAAAATGTTCCTGACATGTTTTCATGAAATCACGAATTCTTTGCAATTAAAATGAAAAATGTATAGGACCACCATTTAGAAATTCTTTAATTGGACAAAGTAATTTTTTTAACATAACACATCAAACAATGTTTTTAACCAACATGAAACATTGTGTGTTTATGATTTTAGTTTCATAAAAATCAGTTTGAACAAATCGAAGATAAAAATGTTAGGGTAAAAAATACAAAATGGTACATTTCTGGATAACAACATTGTTTTGGAAAAAAAATACCACAGACCAAAAGAAAACCTTTAAGTTTATATTCTGATTTTTCACAACTATGACAAAATAGTAGGCCTTTTTAAATTGATGATCTGATAATCAAGTGTTTTTCTTAAAGAACTCACCAATTCGTAATTTTACAATGTGCAATCAGCCATTTGATTAAAATACAATAGGACAATAATATTTGTATACAATACATAGTATTCTCATTTAAATGGCTTGCATATACGTATTCGAATTCACAACTGCAAATTAAAGTGGAACCTAGAGGGCAAATAAGCAGATACTCTTTATACTACCAAATTATCCAAGGTTTGTGTGCATAATGGTCAAAACTTTGAGTAATGAAGAATCTGATAGAATTATCTATGGTTTATAAAGGTTTTTGCACCAATGGATCATCAACAATTTTTTTAAGTCTGACATGTTGTTAAGTTTTTTAAACATAATTACAGTATTGTTGAATCAATCAGGATAAGACATTTGTTTTATTTTGTTCCCACCTAATATTTCTCTATTACGATGCAATTTCTGCTTGTGCATGGGATCTTGTAATTTCATCAGAGCTATGGGACTCCATTTATTCTTATTGCCGGTTCTATGCGCAGTCATCGGTCGCACAAACCGATGCTAACCGTATAAACCTAGCTACAAACAAGATTATGTTGTATCACATTCGATGTCGCTACGAGTGCAATATACAATTTGGTTTCCCAACAATATTAACAATGAGTTTAAGCTACAATGTAAATAATAATAAATCATACAAACAGTAAAATACAAACTTAATTATTTTAAATATTTTGTATTGACACATAAATTCAAATAAAAAACGTTCGCTCTTAGATTTTTACCTGTTTAATACCTTATTTTTTACGTGTTTGTGTCCAAAAATATTGCCGTATTTTAAGTTTTTCTTACGAAAACGGTCCGAAAGCATGGCTTCTTTACTATATATAAGCTAAGGATAAATCATTAACCTCTTGTTGGATGGAATTCATTATAAGGCCAACGACAAACAGAATGGAGGTCCAGAATAATCGCCGTTTCCATCGAACCTGCGACCTTCTGATTCGAAGGCGAGCCCTATAACCTCTTGACATACAAAAATGTAACTTTTGTTTTAGATTGGTTTATTTTTGGTTCTGACCTTACAAAGAAACAAAGTCATACGAAAGTTTCAAAATCGTTGTTAATCTTAATTGAATGATTTATTGTATGTTTCAAACAAAACTATCGCACACTGTAGAGGTAAGCCTATTTCAAAGGCTAGTGCTTGAAATTACTTAGAATATCATTGGAATCAATGCAGTCCGGAATGGTTGTACAGAATGGGTTAATAAAGATTACCTGTTCGCTTAAAACGAACGAAATAGTTAATCATCGACAATTTAATTAAACATGTAAGTTCACAAAAAATAAATGTAACAGCGTTTTTTACATGAAAGTTGCTTCAGGGAGGCTAATGTTAAAACCTAAACCAAGACAGTAAAAACATATGGGATACTGACCGTTGGGGTATTTATTTGTTTATAAACCGTTAGTAAATTCTCACTGAAATGGCTGTGAGCACAAGTAAAAATGATAGAAAAACGTGTATAAACGAATTTGAATTTATATAATTTTCATAGAGAGCAATAAAATTATTTTATAGATTTTATAGCCTGGTGTATTCACAAGAACGGTATAATTATCTCCAGCGCTGTACATAATACAAATGAAACTAAAATGCGTATCTTGTACATTAAGACCAAAAGAGCAGTTTCCCCTGGAATTACTTTCCTAAGGAAGTCAGTAATGGGCAATACTTCACTGGGAGCGAACAACGGTCATAAATGTCAAGTTTTATTTACTTTAGTTGTTGTCCTACATGCGAATTGTATCGGCCAGTGGTTACGAGCTTTCTAAATCTTTTATCTAGTGAATTGGGTAAACAAACAAGTATTATTTCATTTAATATTTCTAGTACCATGGGACCAAGGCTTGCTCGTTGATGTTTAATTTGTTTAGAAGGTCAACAATCAAAATCATTAGTAAATTTATAATTTTAAAAAGAATTTGAATTTAGATCAAATTATTATAAATAGGCTTACTGTATAAAATATGTAATAAATCGAATTTTATGAATTTTTTACCATCATCCAGTATTGGTGCTATTTATACGTAACTGTCATAGTATATTCATAGTATTTACTCACATATTCATAATATTCCCATCTTAGGTAATTGTAAATGAACTCGTCACCAAGAAAATGTCATTCAAAGTAAAAAAAATACCAAAATTAAAATATCAGCCTTTAATGCAAAAAGACCTACATCATTTAAGGAATTCCTTCCAACAGTATTCACTGAATATTCAATACTGGCAGTAAAAAAATGCAAAACCTTTTAATTTACATTTTATGTCAGTAGACATAAAATTAAGTACATTAAATTATGTCAGTAGTAGCTTTCACAAAATTTATTTCATAATTATAAACGTTGCAGCAATGTCAAATAGTTCGATATAAAAAAAAATTAAATCAGTCTAGAAAAACTATAACAAGCTAAGTCTATAAAAAAATCCACACAATATTTTGTGTGGATAAAGCAACAGTTTAAGTTTTTTTACAAAAAAGTGTTGCAGGCTTCAAACTATCAAGATCAACAGAACTTGATACTTCTTGGGGATTTGTAAACAAACTAAAGGCTTCCTAAGAGAAGAACTTCACAAAAAGTAAAACCACCAACCTGACAATTCCGTTGGCTCGGATTACAAAACCAATAGATCAAAGGTGAAAAGGGTAAAGTGTTGGCTCTGCCTTTCTTTGCCAAAGTTGGCTCATTATTCTTCGTCAGCTACCTCCGAATTTTGTGTTTTGAAACTCATTTTATTTGCTTGAAAACAAATTTCAATTCGGTTGAATATTTTCGATAATACATTTTCTTTTCAGTGAAATTTCAAACTTATTTCATTTGTTTGTAGTGGAAGTGCCTTTAACGTTAATTTAAATACTAACTAAACAATAATATAATCTAGAAAGTGAACCTTTGGATCACTAGGTTCTTACGTTTTCTATTTTGTAATTATACAACTTCGTTTGAATTGTAAAACAAAATTATAAAGCGTGTTATTTCAAGAACGGATAAGGTTTCGCATAACGATGTTTATTGTTAACTCTTACTAATATATTTACTAACAGAGCAAAGGAGCTTATTTCAATAATATATTGTTTGAGTAAAACGGTTTCAAAATTGAAAACTGGCAATAATTTTGAAAATCAATTTACAATCAAACCATTGCTGATGCACGTTTAATATTACTATACTCATATTTTATGCCATCTTAAATTTTTACCATTTACGATAGTTTTTAATAGTGTATGAGCTCAAAACAAGGAAATAAAATTTCGTGTCAGCGATATTGCTTAAAAAATAAAAACATTGCCAGTCTAAACTTATGTTTGTTTCAAAATATACAATTTAAAACTGATAGTTTATTATTGTAGTCATATTTATTTTATATCAGTGTTTACATAGAAGTTGAAATACAATTTTTAAATGAAAGGAATTTCCAATTAATAACAGTCTTTGATGATCTATAACTTTACAAGTTAGTTTATGCCATTATAAAATGCATTCACGTTAAAAAGTACGTTATTAGTTTTATAAAACCTAAAAAAAAAACAGAAAAAGTAATAATCCTATTTCTATCACCCAATTTAAAGAAGAAAAATAACAAAGTAAAAATTAAATAGGCTTACAATCTGCACAATTTATAAAAACCTACTCAACACGTAGTTTGGGAATATGTCAAGTAAACGAAATAAACAACTTTTATTCGGTTTGAATTATTATCTATATATTTACAGACTCGTATTTTTGGCTAGCAGTTGATATTATCACGTAAGACGCAATTGTTGTTCAATGAGGTAGTTCTTGACAGGGACAAACACTTAAAATATTACTTTTACCAGGGGTTGTATACTTGTAGTTCAGCTGCGAGTTGTCTTAGCCAATAAATGTCTTTGGTTTGAACAACCGTGGCTCTGGAACATAGATTTTAGTTAATGTTTGTATCTATTAGATGCTAAAACACTAATAATGTAAATGCAAATAGTCTAAGGTTACATAGGTATTCAAAACTGCATTCCAAATAAAACACGGATAATTGTAATATTATTTGTGTAATATCTGTGGTTGAAATAAATATTATAGTGATTTCTTAGGCTCACAATTAGTTCATTTTAACCAATATATGATTATTTTATAGGTTAAAATAATGTATACAATATTTAAAATACTGAAGTATAGACTACAAATTAAAATTTAATTCACAGTGATTTAAGGTTTGACGTGGTTCTTAGCTGACTAGCATAGCTGTAGGTTATTGAAATATGTATAACTAAGCACTCAAGCTTGCTAAATAAAAGGATTTGAAATATGCCTACACAAGATAGGTTTTGTACTATGTCCAGTGACTGTTGGGGCCAAGTAATATATATATATGTATTCGTTCTCTTTTGTTTTCAGCATTTTGTTGATATTATAGTATTTCATAATTTTTGGTCCAGGGTAGTGATGGTGCTCGCCTTTAAAGCTAGAGTGCGTTGATTATGTATCAAGCCCCTTTCTACATTGCCCCTGAGCCCTTGTGCTACTTATTTTTGGACTAAAAGTTGATGTTGCTTTATAACGAAAGGTCGTTTATATAATAACAAGACTAAAGGTTGGACCGTTCCCCTACAAAACCTAAAAAATAACACGGGTTGATATAAAATAGTACAGGATTGAATACGTAAGCAATAATGAACACAATAATACGACAAAGATCAGTCCAAACATTATATCAGCTTTGATGGATTGTGTCTAAGTAGGATCAACATCCGTCGATGCCAGGGAGTGTTTAGAATGCTTTGTTCTCACTTACATTAGTCTTACAGTTCCATTGTAGTCATAGTCAGGCATCCAACGCATGCGGGCCTCTCTCTTGGGGTCCTGATTGAATTCCGTTGCTGTGTTCTGACAACATACAAATACATTATAGACTACAGGTGTCAGTGGAAAACGAGCTATCATTTCATATCCTGTTAGTTTACAATCGAGATGTAGATAAAGAAATCGTTATACCTTAAGATTATCAGTGAATGGAAAGGAAAAACCTTAAACAAAATGATGATAATAAGTATTATAGTTTATAACATGACTTAATTTATCTTAATAAACACTTTATGGCTTTTAGTGAAGGTTGCTCTCTTTGCAGAGGCATATTATGTTTTATTGCATCGTATTGATGGAATTTACTCTCATGCCTTCAGGACATAAATCTCAATATACATCCACTAGATCAGTTGAATTATTTAAACTTGCCAGCCTACCTCAAAACCTCTTAGCTCAAATGCATATTATTTAAAACATATGTTTAGAAATATTGGTATAGAGCCTCTTCTCATATAATGTAAACAAATCATTTTGTAACCTAAGCCGTGGAAGGTTATAGGATGTGAGTGATTCATGTATGAAAGAAAGTAATCAAGAGATTAAAAGTGATAAAACAAAACACTACAAGCAGCCGTATTTATACAACCCAATATAATCTGATTTATCTTTACACCTCACCCAATCATCCTTAATACATTCAATTTCAACATGTAGCTCACCAAATTTGTACTACGCTTTTTTATCTAATATTTCTATATCTGTTATATCCTACATCATTACCTCTGGTCGATGGAAGCAGTTATACAACGTGATATCAGCGTCCCCAGTATCCACAAACTGTCCCACAGGAACTCCTAGCACGGTGTCCCTCGCCTGGACCAGGAACCTCTCGAACTCCACCCGGGGGTCCTGTGTACGGATGGTGAGGATGATGGAGTCCTGATTGTGGATGACTCCTGTCTTACTCACGTTCAGGACATAAGGGAAGGGTGTTGTCTGGGGGAGGGCGGAGTCGAAAGGGTCAAGAGTAATACAGGTGCTGTAGTCTAGGTCCAGGACATCGCTGACTACACTCACTGCAGCTGCGGCCAGCAGCAACCCTGTCACACCAATTAACAAAAATCTCAGAAAAGTAGAAATAAGAGTGTGGCCCATAAACCAAATTATTAGAAAATATATATAATCCAAACTAAATTACTAGACTATCCACAAGTCAACACTTTGGGAGATATATTGATGATATGAAGTACATTCATATCAAAAATGAGATTAGTTAAACAGAAAAATACATAATTTTATGAAAACTAATATACTATTACATAGTTTTTTAGTTTTATTACATGATATGTTTTTTGCTTGGTCGTTGAATATGATAACCATACTTGGTGGGTTACTAATAATTGGAAGAATATTGGGGTTTTTTGTACAATTGATTTTTTTTGTAAGAAAACTATCCAAACTCGAGTCTTGTAACCATTTAACGTCAACCTTATTCATATCATTATTCGTTATTTATGGCTCAATAATCAATACTTTCTGGGGTCCATGATTGATATCGCTAGAGATGTTAACTGAAAAATTCAAATTTACTGGTTGGCACTGTAACCACCCTCATATCCAGAAAAAAATGTAAGTGGTTATACTTAAAATAGTCTGATATGTTAAGTATAAGTATCTCACTAAACAATTATAAACAACATTTAAGTAATTTCCGAGAAGTAGACTACAATAGTAAACTTAAAGAGAACTTGCGCTAATTTATTCAACAAAGATTTTAGTTTACCTTAAACAAACAAAATATTTATACAATCTGTATCTTGATCAGTTTAGATCATCTTAAGCTCTATTAGCTTACGATTGTCTCTAACTCAATCACTTTAGGGTAATCTGTAACACTAGACCTTGTGTAACCCGATCAGCTGTAGATTATCTGGAGCTCAATAATTAGCTAGGAATAATCTGCAACTACATAGATTTATTTTATACCAACTCCTAATCGATGTTTTTGGATTATCTGCCACATATAAGCTTGCATCAACATGTTGATTACCTTTAGATAATCTGAAAGTTGAATTATTTTATCTAAAACCACCACGCAATGAGTTTTTAGATCAATATCACCAACATTACTGTTAGATAACCTAACAATCGATAAGTTTGTAATGAAATACAAGTACAGCGAAGTTAGATAAACTTTACTCATCTTGAATCAACTACCACTTGGTAAACTTAGGATAATATCTAATTTGATCATATGCGACGAACCCAGGAGTATTGTTGCATAAAGTTTCACATGTCTCTCCGCTTATTATACTATGCTATCTAATCCCTTCAATACTTTGGATTTATGTAGCGACTTTGCTCTGACTACGGTAATAATATCAGGAGTATCTAATTAATTTAACGTGTTAGTTACTTAGTTAACAATTCATTTATTCATACGGTAAACACCGTTTTTACAATCAATAATACATGAGTGGCAAGTTACTAGATAAATATTTATAAATACATATAAGCCAGATTCAGATTCATCTTGCTAGATAAAAAAATTTAATAAAAAGATTGGTAACATGAAAAATGACATAAACAGGATTGTACCAAAAATGCGTTGACAAAGATTGGATCCATACTTATTACAAATTCTAGTTAACATGCATAAACATTTCTAGAATAATAACGATAACCAAATCAAGATAACAATCAATAAATATTTTAATATAATAACAATAACAAGCAAAAATATAAATATATTTAACAGACAAGACAAAAAAAAACAAAAAAATGACAATAATATAATAACGGTGACGTAAACTGAGTGGAAAATGTTAACATTGCAATCAATATTTATGGGAAAGTGTAAACAAACAAGGCAGCAAATTCCAGACAGTGACCTCAGGACACATTCTCATCAACCTCATACAAATAACAGCTTAAACTAGGATATTTTAATGACTTTTAGTTTGCAGGTGAACATATCAACATGTTGGCATGCTTGATTTCCAAGTCTGTGGAGCCGTGGAATTGTACTGTGGAAGGCGTAGTTTGTAGAAAAAGAAGCTTTGTTGAAGAGTTGAATATGCCTGAAGTACATGCATATTCAGCTAAAAATATATTATGGTTCTAATAAGGTGCAATTGAACAATAATCGACAAAAAGCCTGGCTTAACTAAAATTAGACTGGGGACTTTTAAGGAAGGTAAAAAAACTACATAGAAAATACGATTAATTATGTAATAAAATGAGTAATTATAACGATAAACATAAATATAAAATACTGTGTTCCTGAGCTTATTAACGTGAGTATGATATGATTATTATTACATCACTACTTTTATTTGAGGAGAAATCAAATTTTTATTTTCTTTTCATCAAAGTAAAATATGTAGTTTTATATATCTATGAAGAGAAAATTCATCTACTTTAGGCTAATGTTCTAATTGGTATTTACTTGTATCTAATGGATTTACATAAATACCTGGTGCTAAGGTTGGTTTCATGCTAGCGGAACCATTGTATATCAGAGCTACTGATGTCTTCACCCTGTCACATGTTAAAGTTGATAACAGATCTTATCACTAACTATTAACGTCATTGTCAGCTCCCAACTGTTCAATTACACAAAACGTTTACTAATTTGTCCATGTATTACTCATTTAAAATTATAGAAATAATAGTTTATAATTATAAGTATTACGTGTGTTTGTATTAATTTACTAATCCTTTACTTAATGCAATAATAACAGATTTATTGTATCACTCAAACTTTGGCTAGGTTGTAGGCTATACGGTAAATAATCCGATATTTGTTTATAGATCTATTCATACAAATCGATTACAAATAGAAAATCATTATGAATGTGCTAATAATATACACGACAATAATAGACACAGATTAAAGGTCGATTCACACATATCAGTCCAGTCACAGTTCCCTTAGAGTCCAGTCACAGTTGCATCCGCAATTTCTCAGTCAAACTGTCAGTCATTTGGTTTCAGTCACTCTTCCGTCACTTTATTTACAGTGTTGTTGCAGTACAAAATGTTCAATTAAAACCTAATATTTTATAAAATTTTCATCGTACGTCTTCTTGATTGTTACACACATTACTTAACATATAAACTCGACGATTTTAAATAAAAAAGTACAACTTTCTAACCTCAAACACATCCGTCAGGCATCAAAATAATTCAAAAATATCGGTGAAAAGAAATATGAAATTGACTGACGGACGCCGGCAGAGCGACTGACGGAACTGCGGCGGGTCAGTGTTGATAGCGTAATAGAAAATCCATTAAAGAATATTTTTGTTAACTGAGATGTTCCTGAAGTGAATAGACTGTGACGTGCCGTAACTGATGTGTGTGAATCGAACTTAATAGTGACTTTTGGCACAAATTTTATTGTTAGATAAACCTTAAACTAGTTCATGTTTGTTTTTTTTTAGTTCAGCATTATAGAAAATTATCTTAAAGGCAAATAAGTCATAGCAGTATTCATGAAATGTAAAATAACCGTAGCATTTCATTATTCTGTGGCGTGTAGAAAATTATTATTCCTTACTAACAAAAATAATTCAATAAATAAAAAAAAAAATAACTGAATGGGAAAGAACTCAGGCAAACGCTTTCTCATTAAAACGAATTTCATTTTTGTTCAAAGGCGTTAAAGCGTAAATTTGAGTTTGTATATGAATAAAACATAATTTAAACACCTTATTTTGTATTACAAAATTATTTATAGTATATGCAAATAAAGTACAAATTATAAAAAATGAAAGTCCTAAAGTGTAAATATTTTTTTATCTTCTACGTTAATCATGTAGTTGTGTTTGATTTAGTGTTACAAAAGTTTAAAGAGTTACGTCAAACAAGACTGCCAATAGATGGACAATCTAACGCATTTAAGGAGAGTAAATATCGCCCCGACCGTTTGCTGTGATTCAATCTAACATAATAATAATAATAAAAACAGTATTTACGGTCAAACAGTCTTTATTTACGTGTCCATATTTCTAATTTTTTAGCTTCGTAGTTGTACTTCAATACGACATAAAACAAGTCTTAAAAGAAAACTTATCAAAAGATATAACTTTTATAGCTTCAATTGGTCTCTCCGCTATATCAAAAGCTTTACAATTACACATCAATTGTAACATCGGTTTAGTAGGAGGACTGAAAATGGGATGTTAAAGAGTAAAATCCTTATTATATTGAGTAGTATGGATATAATATTGGCTAGGGGTCCCGTGCGCATCCCAAAAGAAACGGTGTCCTTATAAACGTACCAATTGTGGCACAACAGAACGGGTAAAATGTTAGCTTGAATAATGATAAAAATATTCAAAGTAAATGATTTATTTAATTAGTTTTAATCGGCATAAAACTATGCCATGCCAATATTAATGTAATATCAGAAGCCCGAATTTTTAAGAAGTGGATTAAGATCAAATAATTGCAATCACAAAACAGATCCATGTTAATTGAAGTCTCTGAAATATAAAAAGGAAATAAAGGAGAGCCAATTTTAAACTTAAATTATTTTATTTGTACCAAATATAAAACATGTGATAAATCGATCAAAGGTCAGGAAAGACTAAGCACTAAAGTAAATTAATCACATTTTACTCAGCATCCATCCTCCAATAGATCAACATCTTTGAAGATATCTCAATCTTAAATATTGGTTAAGTAGGGCGGGCGAAAAATGGATGCTACAGAAAAACCCCTTTGATGTTACCGATGTTTAGCTAAATGTCTGTGTGAAATGTTTTGTGGCTAAAAAAATATGAGAAGATTCATTTAAAAGTTCAAAGAGTGTAAAAAGTTATTAAATTATTATTGAAACTGAATCCAACCAACTTACGGAGGATGTAAAATAGAGAACAGAATTGCTTTTATCACATTTATATTACAAGTGTTCAACACCATTGTGTTATTTGAAAAAACATTATTCTCTGGGGGAAGTGTGGTGTAAAAAGTAACCTATGTTTGGCGGTGAGTTGGCAATCAACCAAGTACATTAGTCTTCTACACGTTATGCTCAACTTGCACGCAATTTGTTACACTAACTGACTTTCCTTTCTTTGCATCCATATCCTTTTTAATATACATTTGAACAGAACAAGAGCCATAAATGTAGAATATAATAATACTAGTTTGCGTTCTAAATTTTCTGTTTGGTTTTTATTCCCTGTTAAGGCCTTCATTAGTTCGTTAGTTTCATATTTAAATTTTTTTGATAAAAACATAAAATAGATATTTGGCAAACAACCAAGCACATTAGAGTTATGCACGTTTTGGTCAACTTGGTAACATGACTGACCTACCTTGTTGTGCATCTTTTTCTTGTTATATTAAAATATTTATGTCGATATTGTCATATGAATTAAAAATGTGATGTGAGTAAAATACGTTTTTTATTTTGTATGATTTTTAGCGTAGTTAACAGTTCAAACCAACTGGGCAACCCCTTGGGTTTGAACAAAGCAACCTCAAATTTTAGTAGTTCAACTGTTTTTTGGTCAAAGAAACGAGTGGTCTATACCTGAAATTTTCTTCTCAGTAATCGTACATTTGTATCAGCTTCATTCTGGTTTTTCAGAAAGTAATAAATAGTAAATTAAAAGTATACTCACTCCTTACTTACAGGTTAATGATCTCCATTGGTGTTGGACTATAGAATAAAGATTATCTTAAGATCATCTCAACTTGTCACTTTGTTCAGTGAAGAAACTGCTTTAGACAAATGACTTTAAAGGAAAATCGTAGAATGGGCTGCATTGAATAGCTTTTGCTACTGACTACTACAGCTAAATCATCAAACCACCAAAATGCTTTTGACTGGTTCAAACCAGGGACCTTCTGATATCGGATGTCTGGTATCAATAGACCACTCAGCTGCCTAGATATGCTTACCATGTTAAAAAAAAAAAAACATTTGTAAGAATGGTAAAATAATAAACACATTATGTATATAAAATTTGATTAATAACCTTACTGGCAATTAGGCTTAAGGTAAACAGTATTTTTGTCACACAACTGAAAATATTATAATATATTTTAAAACATTAATGCTAGTTCTTATTCATTGATACTTATGAACCCTTATTATAAAGCGGAGGTTAAGCAGCCTGAAAACATAAGCCTCTGACGGTGCAATTTGTTGATTGAAAACGTGATTAACCTCTACTAACAACATGCTAGTCTTGTAGACTACCATGCAACTCAGGTGTGATATTTACTACGTTAAATAAACAATTTGTATATATTTCACAAAGCATATGTATATGTAAGCTATTATAATGTTTACGTAAATTAATTTAATAACATTGGAATCAAACTTAAAATATTTTAGTCTTTTACACTTCAAATAAGACAAACTTCTATTTTTTTCATAAGGCAAATATCTATGGAATTTATTTGGCAATTAGTGGTATAACAGATACAATTTAAAAGTAATTGAAGACAAATTCACTAATATTCAACACCTCAATCAATCAAACCAAACAATTGATTCAACTCAACAAATATTCATTACTTTGTTCACAAAAGTAATAAAAAGACCACCAATTGTTTGTCTGAATTCAACTGGTTATTTTGTTGCTTAAAACACCATAAGAACCACCATAAGAAGGAGGTTATGATTTATCCTTTCTGTTTCTTTTTTGACATAATCTTTAGAAAGGTTTCCAAATTGTACAATATTTTATCCAGCTAAGTCTTTAGATCAAGTACAGAATGATAAACTCATGAATACTTTATGGTAAAATAAATATTTTTAATTTTCCATATTTTCCTCTAAAATCAAATAACGTAATAAGCATTTAAGTATTAATTAGCATTAAACAATGTCTTTTGAATGATGAATAAAAAATCTTTGATATCCCAAATGACATTTGTTTCAAAATTAACATTATTTTTAAAAAACCTGGGACCTACATGCTGATTTGTGTTCCTTTATATAACAATATTACTAGTTTTATTCAATTTTAATTTACTTTATACTGCAAGGAAAAACAAACGTCTAAAATGTAGTGGTTTAAGGTTAGTAACAATGATCACAGCTCTGCGAAGGCTAACACCTCACAAAGACACGTCTTTTTGGCAGGTGAAAGCTCCAACCAGAACACATGAGGCCCTGATAAACCGATTTGGTGATTGAAAACGTGCTTTGAACCTCATTCTCCCCTCACTCCCATTACATAGACTTAAACTTATAACTATGAACCTAGACAAATGGGATAAAAGTACCTAATAGTTACTGCCTGTAGTATCATAAATACCCATAATTAGATGATTGTTTACGCTTACAATCATAACCACATAAATCATAATGCGTTCTGTCGTACAATTTACGATAAAGGTTAGAATGTCCGTACGATATTATTTGTGATTAAAACATTAATGTAATATTTAATAGTGCCAATAATTCAATTGTTGGATAGAGGAATTAATTTTGCAAAGTTACTCATCAAGAAAAGGAAAACTTGATAAGAAGTTATCACACTTAATACACTTATACATATAGCTTGGTGGAAAGTCTAAATATATGACACCGAACTATGGAATGATCAAGTCAATAGATGAAGGTCACAAAAT